TCTCTCTCTCTCTCTCTCTCTCTCTCTCTCTCTCTCTCTCTCTCTCTCTCTCTCTTTCTCTGCAAATCTTAGTTTGATTACACCGCGCTGTATTCTCATCAATTATTCTGAATTTGTTTATTTGTTAAAAATCCACGACCGATACGGCCGATTCTTGTCGATACCTGAACAAAAAGCTCAGCTTCCGCTCTTTGCGCGCGTTAAGCACAATCGCTATTTGTTGCGCGGCAACGGACAACACCGGTAGATCGATTCGATTAAATTCGTCGAAGCATCCCCAAGAGCCGGACTGCGCAAGACCTTTAAATATCCTGCCTAAACCTCGAAAATCCATCTGATCGGAACAATTAAAAACCACTACGTATTTTCCCAGCGCTTTCCCCATGTCCTTCGTTGTTTCCGTTTTACCCGTACCGGCCGGGCCTGCTGGTGCTCCGCCAAAGTTCATTCCTGAACAAATTATTCACGGCACGGATTAACGAAAGAAATGTGACACGACGATGTAAGCAACGCTGCGCGAATGTTATTCTACACTCATCCTTCCTCCCTTCAAGCTGACCCGAGTATCTTACCCATGGCCTGCGCGAGAGTTATGTAACATCTGTCAGTGAGCGGTGTGATCGCGAGACGATCTGTACAACCCAGAAATTCATTTTGATAAGCGAATTCCACGTCGGTTATCCTGACCGGGACTTGCTCCGTATCGTCATCGTAATAGAAACGACACTGCTTCAACCATTCGAAGTCGTGTATACTTCGTACTCGAAGACGACACAGCTCGTCGAATATGTCTCTGGGGAAAAGAATTTCGTTACTTCTAGCAATCTTCGTTGTGTCATGAGCGATAATTACACAGCACGGGAAATGGATACTTGGAAATCGTACCTCTGGTGCACGTGTATCGTTATCAAAGCTTCATACTTCACCCTGGCATACTTCGTAAGATCTTTGACGGTTGCTTCTATGAGACTGTTGAGTAAGTCCAGAAACCACTGATTAGTCCGTTTCATGATCGTTCTGTCGCGTTTAGCCGTCGTTACCGCGATCTCGGAATCGCGCGTCCATGAAATTTGCAACGCTAATAAGCCGACCTGCAATCAAGATAAATATATACAAAATAGTCTACCAGACTCTCCTGCGCAATTTTTGTGAGGACGTAGAACGAATTGAGGTGAACGTAAAAGTCTTATACTGTTTTGCGCGATAATAATAATATTAGCAATACTAGTCAAGATATTAATTAAAGAAGATTGGTGAATGATCACGCACAATATGGTAGATGAGCTGTAGTGGTGATGTGTGCTGTTGTGTGCTTGTACATTGAACGAAAAAGCCCTTTATTATTTTGAAAATAACCACGTAGATTTTTAATTATTAATGAAAAAAGTTGTTACATGATTGTGCACAATAATTCATAAATTTTCTTTAATATCTAAATATCTATATAATTATGTGCAAAATACTAGGGGACTTTTTTGTTCAATTTGACCTAATATATAAGTATACAACGGCAAACGATCATAACTCAACTACCATATCGCGCGTAATCATTAATTAATCTTCTTTAATTAATATCTTGAAATTTACTGCGAATATCGTAAAATGGCATGGGAATTTTATGTTCATTCAATCTGTTCTACGTTCCCACAAAAATTGCGCAGAAGGGTATGAGATTTGGTATATAAAACAAGTTGATGTTAAATTGCTAATCGTTAAGCACGCGATACGTGTATTGTCTCACTTGTAAGATGGAGTTTTCTATTAATGACAGAATATCAAATTCAGCCGTATAAAGCGATTGTAATCCTGATGAGATAACAGCACCAACGGACTGCTGATGGACCGTTAACAAAGTGTTCAACCAATTCTCTACGCCTCCTGTACACACGACTTCTTTCTCTAGCACTATCCTCTCATCTTCTCGCGAATGCATCTCTAGAATTTTCTCATATTCTTTCTCGGAGAAGCTTAACTGCATATGAGAGAAAGAATGTAATAAGTTCCTACGCAAAAACGACCGGAAAGTTATTATGGAAACATTTCCGGTTATTTCTGCGGTATGTGTCATATTTTGTGTTAATTTTATCTCGCCAACATATACTACTTGAATGTAGAGGAATTATATACAGTGAGAAAATCTAAAGGTGAATTAAATACAGACTTCACACATTGTGGTGAAATAAAATATTACGGCAACTTGCGGCTTTACGCGGCCGCTTAATCTCTCGCGCACTACATACGAGAACTATTAGATTAGAGGAAACTTCTTCGTGTCTAAAAAGAACCGGAAAAAGCAAATATATTGACTTACAAAGAATCCCACACAAGTGTCCGCCTCCGATTTTCATAAACTTGTAATATGTTGTACTTTAGATCAAAATAACGGATACGTTTTTTATTATATGTGCTCTCTCGCAAATTTAGGAGGTAAAATATCCCTTTGAAGAAAATCGGTTTTTTTTCATTCGAACGGAATATAATGAAAACTATAAGAGATAGAAAAAAATAGTTTGTATAAAAGTTGAATAGTTTAAAGAATACTTTACAGAAATTATTTTAATAATTACAATAAGAAGTAGTGGAAGAAATATTAACAAAGTAATTTTTTTAAAATAATTTCTGTAAAGTACTCTTTAAACTATTCAACTTTTATTCAAAATATTTTTTCTATCTTTTATAGTTTTCATTATATTCCCTTCAAATGAAAAAAACTAATTTTCTTCAAAGGGGTATTTCATCCTCTAAACTTGAGAAAGAGTACATATAATAAAAAACGTATCTGTTATTTTGATATAAAGTACAACATATTACAAGTCCATGAAAATCGGAGGCGGACACTTGTGTGGGTTTCCTTCAGTCAGTCAGTCAGTAAGTCAAAAACTGTTCATTCCGATTTTCTGTGCCTTTTTTCGACTGTAAACCAACCACCTTCTAATAAAAGGATATATCTTCTAAGACAGAACTGCTAAAATTATGGCTAAGGTTCACGGATGACGACAGCAACTTGATTAACAACTTGATGAATAATTAGTCTCCATTGAATGCAGCAAAGTCGAATTTAACTGAAGAATCGAATCAAACTTTTTGATTGACCCAAGATTTCGGCACCTTCGCTATATTGTCGAAAAATCCATCGAGATAATTCTGTATCGTGTGGCAGTCAGCGGCTTGGCCGAGTATCTCCAGCAAAGTAGGATCCGATATGAAGCAGAATCTTGGGAAAATAGTACGCTTGGTCTCCAAATAGCTGCATAAATAAGATTTGTTAATTGCATTGGCTGCACAGTCGTTTTATTTTGCCGATAATTATACCCGCTGAGAGATTTCTGGCAAGATTCTAATTGCTCCAACAAATGAGGTAAAAATTGGCTCATGGTTTCATCCTCGGTACACGTCTCCACCGCGTTCAATTTCTCATGGGCGCGAAGCATGAGCTTGACCCAAGCCTTATCGATGGTCTGAAAAATAACGAGCGGTTATAAATCGATTTATTAATACAATTTTGTTTACAGTAATCCGTACATTGAAACGCTTCGCTTCGGTAGGCAGTTGCTTCGATATGTCACCGCCGATAAACACCGCTTCCAGATAAGCCCATAGATTCTGCACGGTCAACCATTTTGCCAATATCTCAGACGTGTTGCTGAGCTTAGTCTGCCATAATTGAATCTCTTTCTTGAATGGCGCGTTATAACTGTAAGCATCGCACGTCAAATAGATTTGGCGCGCGTTATTCACTTAATTCGGTAATTTCTGATCTGCTATCTAATATACCGATTTGCCAGCAGAGAACTTATGATCATCAAACTGTCTTCAAGTTGCGCTATTATCTCAGCCGTCTCGACACCCTTCAGCAGTAGTTCGCCTCTTTGCTTGAAGTTGGCAAATTGCAGATTTACAACCGTCCAATCGGCAATTATCTGCCTCAGTTTGGTTTCGATATCTTGCTCTTTCACCGCGCTAACACATATATCCTACAACACACAGATTTCATGTATAATCTTCATAAATTTGTTTATTTCGTATATTTGATACGCCTCAAAAGGTTGTGCACAAAAATTCAACGACGATTAATATAAATTGAAGACGATAACTTGGTGGTCTGTTTGAATGTAATACCTCCACGTCATCTTTGTACTTCAACAGAGGTGCTTGCATAACGTGCGCCAAGGTAAAAGTTACGGATTCCACGTCGAAGAAATATTTACACAGGGCAGACATCCTTTCCCAGTGTCTCTCTTTCATAGCTTTGTGCGCCATCATTTCCAATAACGGGCACATCTCGTTAAAATCGTCGATTTTCTTCCTGAGGTCGATATACGCCGGCCAATCTCTCATGGCTTTGGGTAATCTGCGACATCTGAAATCGTATTGCCACGTTATCGTAACGGCTGTTACAATTTTAAACCTCGTTAGCCGGATTGATCTAATTTACTTGTTTTGGAACTCAGCCAATTCGATCACAATTGACTCTATATCAAGCTCAGTCCACGGAATATCATAGTAGCTATCGATAGTGCGCATAACTTGCAAGTACAATGTGTACAACTTCTGTAATAAATTAATCTCTCTCTTTCTTTGTTGTAGAACTGGATATTCCGTCACCTCCATGCCGAATAAGCTCTCGCCGCTGCTGTAAGTTTCGTATCTTTCCCACAATACTTCGAAACGTGCTTGAAACAGGATGAGCCTTGAAGAACAGTAATGTAACAATGTACGAAGTTACCATTAACGTATTATTTATATTACTTAAATATCCATCTTTAAGATTCCACTGAAACTCTACTAAAATTGAATATATTAGACGGTATGCATGTGCAACTCTTATTGCAAAAATAGTAAGCGCGTTACCGTTCACTGGCTTCTTTTGCAGGTATCCCTTCGACCATCGGACCGTCAAGTTCGAAATCGATGTCAAATTCGTTCACGTTCTTTTTGAGAACTGCGACTCCTCCGACAAGTTCCCTTCTCAATGGCTCTTGCATTTCACATATAACTGCTTGAACTCCTTTTGCCTGGAAGAAGGAGCGTATGTGCGGACATCGATACCGTTCATCGTAATGAGGTATAAGATAACTTTAGAGAGCGATAATATTATTAATGAAGAACTTGTGGAGTGTATCAAAAGGCACTAAGCGAACTTAAATAAAAGCGACAAATCGATACCATATGGAGCATGTTGCTGAAGTTATATCTTAATCCGTCTACTATATCGTGCTCCTCCTTGGATATGTCGATATCAAATTTTCCCATCAACGTGTAAGTCTCTTCAATTAAAATCAGTTCCATGTCTAGCATTATAAAGTCATTCCGTATCTCTCCCAAGCATTTCATTGCAACCCTAACATCTTCTAAATCTTTAATATTTCTAGACAGAATTTTATTTTTCTCTTGAATATAGTCTGTTATGTTCTGTAATTTTTCTTTATATCTCTTTGACAAAATGACGCCCAATGATTTCTTCCATGCACTTGCTTCAACGTAAAACGCTAATTTTAACTTATCTGTAAAATATATTATTAGGATTATCTGCACAACATAGTAATTTCTAGAATTATATATACTTTTTGCATCTAAACTCAATAATCATATAGTTGTTATTATTATCATTATTTTATCAAGCTTACACAAAGTATTATAATCGTAGTAAAATTTATTTTACGTACCCATATTAATGTGAAGCGGACCGACCACATGATAATCAGGCAAATTTTCAATTTCTCTCATTAGATTCTCGTATTCCACAAATTTCTCTTTGATTTCTTGTATAAGAGGCGCGGAGTCGACAAACTTTTGTATTATATCATTTCTATTTTCCGCCCATATATAAGAATATCTTAAATACACCTACCATGCGTTGATGGATAATTAGATTAACTTAAATTGCCGTATACTGTTAAAAACACAATTAAAGTAAACGATATAATAACTTTTTACACCTGACCGACTCTGGAGACGTCATTCCTCAGCGATAATATTATACCTTGCAAACTCATCGAGCAGCGAATTATTTCTTTATGATCGGATATGTGTTGGAAATAGGTGTTGAAGGAATCTTGATTGTCTAATTTGTGATATAAGAACAAATAAGTGTTAAATATAGAGTATTCAGCGTAACGATTTTTTAAACACTTCCAACGGCTTAAAGAAAATGAATTTTCAACTGTAATTTTGTGCAGGTTACAACTTGCAATAACAAAAGGTGAAAAAAAATTTTTTTTTCATAAAGAATTTAAGGTCACCTTGAATTTCTTGAATAGTATCAATTTGAACATTTGTTTCCATAAGTTCGAATGTTCCTATTATTTTACTATTATTGTTGATAAAAATGACATCTGTGATAGTGCGTTGAATTCATCTTAAAGTCCTCTACAATATTATATAGAAAAAAGCGCATGATGCCATTTAAAAAATTTAAAGTAACTTTGATTTCTTTATAAAAAAAATATTTTTTTACCTTTAGTTATTGCAAGTTATAACTTGCACAAAGCAGTTGAAAATCCACTTTGCAACCTTTTCTGTAAAAATCCATCGGATTTAAAAAATTGTTGAACACCCTGTATTCCAAATATTTCAAGATTATTTACGAGATTACGTCAGCATAAAGAAGTAAGTATGTTGATTTCTCTAATACTCTCTAATATTCGTTTATCGTTTTAATTTTTATTTCACCATATCATTACCTGTACTTCTAAACGGCTCCGTTTTCATGTTTATTGAGAAATATCGTTGGCCCCACACAACCACTTTTTTGTGCGTTTCTATAACATTCGTTATAACTTTGCCGAAATAGTGTTGTAATTCTTCTATCGTTGGAATGATGACGATATTCGGTATTTGTAGAACAAAGCTCGTTACCATGATCGGAGGTTCTTGCTCTTCTACCGGAATATCCTCCATCAATGCGCTACAGTGGATTAATTTATATACGTCGATTTATTTTAATCTTCGCATTCGCGGCGTACTCATAAACCACGAAATAAAAATGAAATATAGAAACGTGTATATAAAAATACGCGTGCATCAAAGTACTTCAGACTTTCCGCCTTCATCTTCAATAAATCCAGAGAAGTTTTAGTGCACTTCACTAAAGCCTCGACCAATTTGTTATTGAAATATGCAAAGAGTTCCATACAATCGTGGTGCACTTGATTGATTCTCACGGTCCTCTCGACAGGACTGAAGCCTACGATTAATCGGATATTGATTGTTAACGCACAAATTTTAAACATAAAATAGATTAGAATATTGCTTTATTGTGCTGTAAGATAAAATCCTTTCAGAGACATATACAAGTACAAAATAGATATATACATACAGTCGTCAAGCAGAAAAATAACAAAAAAGTTATTAGTTTTATTACGTGTTACTAAAATAGTTTTATTACTTGCTACTATATAATATAGTATATATAATATATAGTATATATAATATAGTATACTATATATATAGTAACTAGTAATAAAATTACTAAAAATATCTGGCCAATTTATTATTGACAGTATTAAATTTTTATAAGGAAAATAAGTAGTTACACATGCAAAAAAATAAAAATATAAAGAAAACAAATAAAACACGAAAATTAACGCAACATCATAACGATTCTTTCGGGACACACTATACCTGGTTCGAATCCTTCTGTTAATTTGGTTTCAGATCCCACTTGCTTGTGCACTTTCTCGGGATCCATCCAATTGTACTTGACGTCTTGCACGATAGGATCAGTCACATGATCCATGAACTGGTTGATAATCATGATAACAGCTCTTTCCGCCGCGGCGGACTTGATTTCCAGATCAGTCGCGATTTTATCTCTAAAAGCCAGGTTATCGGCTAAGAATTGCTCCGGATTTTTCGGATAGTTATCCAATTGCAGGATCATCATTTCCGCAATGCATTCCAGCACTTCGTCCACCCGCGCTTCCTTCATATCTCGCACTTCCTTGACGAATATTTGCATATCATGTATCGCCTTTTTTATATCAGCACATACTTGAGAGATCTTTAATGACGACCACGTAATCACCGACAGGCAGGGTTGAAAGGCAATCTCGAGATTGATCAGCGCGATCTTCATTAATTTCAGGAATAAGATCGGAATAGACTTTCTGCGCGCACATGCACGACAAGTTAAATATCTCTGCGTGAGAATATTTTGAATCAACGATCGGTGAGTTAATTTTTATACCTGAGAGTGTTGTTCTCCTTGAGTAATTCCTTTACTGTTTTGTAGGACGAGAATATCTTCTCCTTGCAAAAGATTAGGATCTGTATGAAATCCGGTACTTCTAGCCCTAATTTGGACATGTGCTCCGACTCCCGTATCGCCTCGTATATGTAAGAATCGAAATTCAAAAAGTACTTGTTTGTTTTCGGATGACACACGATTATGGGGGACGATAGCGCCAGGCGAACCTAATGATCAAAGGTGAATTCTAAAATCTCTAGATCATTTCAGAAACACGATGATCAATGTTTGCTAGTATCTAGACGAAACCATCAAGATGATCATCTAGATGGAGAGGACAAAACCTACATCTACATCTAGATGATAAAAGATCTACATCTAGAGGACAAAATCTACATCTAGATGATAAAACATATAGCATATAGCATCTTCATTTTAGATGAAATATGTGCCATCTTATCTAAAAAAATTGTTTTAATATTGATACGATATCCAACAATAGAATTTGTTACCTAGAATTTTTAACTAATGACATTTTAAAGACTTTTTCTTAAAAAATATATATAAAGATAATTTATACGCCAAAAATATGACTGCGTATGAAAACAAGTCTATTTCTAGTAATAGAGTTAAAGATTTTTTCATAATATGAAAAAAAATTATTTTAGTACACAACCAATCATCAATATTAATAACATCGAACCACCTATTTAAGTTGAAATAAAAAATGTTGCATTTTCTGACGAATTTCCTTAATATGAAACGAACTTTTTTCAGATTACAATACATTGCTGCCTTCGCCAATAGAGCGTTTTTTTAATACAGGACAACAAATATATATATCTCATAGAAACCGTTTATCAGATGATACTTTTGAAAAACTCTTGTTTTTGAAAAATAAGAACTTATAAATAAAAGTATGAGTACTATTTATAAATCCTTTTTATTATATGCGCAAATTTTTTATATATTTATGTAAATTACCTAAAAACAATCTGAAAGCAACCTAGATGAATCGCATAACTATCTCGTCTTTCATCTAGATGCTCTAAAAGTGAAACCATTTCCATATCATCTAAGATGCATTTACAGAATTTCATCTTATCTCCATCTAGATGATTTCAAAACCATCTAAGCGCAACACTGACGATGCACATGACGTGAACTCACGATGTCGGCCGAAGCGTACCACGCTTTGTGATATATAAGTTCGTAGTGAATGAACACAGTAACGAGCGCGTTATACATTTTGATGCACTTTTGCATAGGCTCCTTCGTGATAACTTTTTCGTGCGACCTAAACATATTCATCGGGACCTCGATGCGTTTGTACAACTGCCGAATCCACAAGATTCGACCGGCGATCGGCGGAATGCTTCTCGGCACAGGTGGATTGGACCGATCCTCGTTGTACCTGTCGCGAACGTCTTCAATTTCTTGCTGGTACATTGCGATGAGTTCCAAATACTTCCTGTCGATCCTCAATTGCTTCAGATTTAACTTCTCGAATCTGAAAGGCGCGAGATTATAACGCGTCCACACGCGATTTTTTGAACACTTAGGAAAGAAATTCACGATGTGATACTACCTGGCTATCAGCTCTAAAGCCTGCGATATACTCGGTACAAGGGAGACGCGATTGTAGAAAAATGCTCTGAGCTCCACATCGGTCTCCGCAACGCTCTTTTTGTACTCGTCGTAATCGACTTCGAAATACGGTTTCCTGTGATTCAACGGGTCGTACTTCTGCGATGAAATTTTCTTAAAGTGATCCGTGTACTTTTGCGCGTACGTGTCGATTCCTTCTATCGTGGAACTATGCAGAATCGAGTACATTCGCGCTGCTTCAAGGACGTCCATGATCTACATTGTAAGTCGCGAATAAGATAACGATAAGGCAACGATGTGAAACCCATGGACATAGTATACATGGACTCCGAATGTCCTATGTTATGTCGTCTAATAGAGTGAAGCCAACATCTAAAGAAAGAGAGCTAGAATAGAGGGGCTATAGTTTTCTTCCTACCTTGTCACTTTTTTGTTGCGCGTGCATCCATTTCTCGTTTCCATATTATAGAGCGCAACAGCACCCCGACTAGACTGGCAAGTAAAAGTCTTACTAAAATTTTATCACACACTTTGTCTGTGCAGGAAGAGACAGAGAACATAGAAGGGCTGTACATATTGGCTTCACCTTTCTGGCCGTATGCGGGGTCCATATACTACGTCCATAGTGAAACCGCATGGCGCGTGTGTCGTTCTTTACCTTTATTATTCTCATCTTAAAAGCAGCGAACTTCCCGAAAACATACATCTCGGATAACTCGAATGATTTTTCGTCCGGCGATTCCTCGACCTTCTTACACATATCGTCGTAACAGTTGTGATATGTCTCGCATAGCTTGATACAGTTCTGAAGAGTAATTGCCGATTCTTAAATTTAGCTTAAGTCAACAAAACGAAACGCGTCGATTTTAGACGTTTACGCTCTAGCTCTTCACCTTTATCTTAGATATCATGGTATACTTCGATTCGTTCCAAATACTTATTGTACCATTTTCCGTCAGGTACGCTTTACACGCCAATATCATCTGATTTGTTATCTAAATGAGAAATACACCATAAATACTAATAAAATATAAAAAATTAGAAAAAACCGGGGCTAGATGCTCTTTATTTTAGAATTTCAAAGTTACAACTTCTCAGGCAACTGATTGTTGTGACTGACTCTGACTATACTGAGGGAAAAATTACTTTAAAATCGACAAATATTTCTTTGATGGGTGCCATTAACATATTTATTTAAATTCTCTTTATTTAAACCAAATATTGTTTACTTAAATCAGATAAACAATATTTGATTTAAATAAAGAGAATTTAGATTTAAATAAAAATATGTTAGTGATACCCATCAAAGAAATATTTGTTGATTCTAAGGTAATTTTTCCTTCAGTGTATATAACTACTGAAAAAAGGCACATCGGCAACATATTCCAAGGGTTATATAGCCTCGATCTCCCCTGTATATCCTCCACTATAACTTTCCCAAACAAATTTCGCAATAAATGGCAAAATATTGTGATATATCTTAGAAACTGCTATTTAAAATTGTTTTGTAAAGTATAATTCCAGAAAAATACCTTGACATAGATAGCGGTCACCATCTTTCTCGTGTTAAAAAATCGTGATGTAGCATAAATCATTCTTATAGCGTACATGAGCGCAGGTAAGCAATCTCCTATTTTCGTCGGATCCAATCTGTATAATGGTTGCGTGAATTTTTCCAGTGCGTACAGATATTTCACGTTGTCTTGCGACAGAATATGTATCAGCCTAACATGATCTTCCAATTTCTTCCATTTCTACATACAAAACTCGGTTGGAAAATTATTCATTATTAAACATCATTCGTATGCGCAATCGTTAATTATTTCAGCTCAAATAAGATCGTTGAAACGAAATAACGAGAAACAGTTCCGCAAAATTCGAACTTCCTAATCGTTAATTCAGAGATCGATTGATCCTCGAATGATCTTCCACTATCTCGTACTCGTCTTAAGTTGGCCGATAGAATACACACAATGCTCACGCAATTTCTCTTGAGAAGAATTTAATAAATATTTTAAATTGAATTCCCCTCTACCATGCTATCTCGACGTTTCATTGTATCTCACTATACTTTATTCCTTCGAAAGAATTAAACGGATCGTTCAAAGAACATAAAATAACAGCGATACGTCGGGAATGGCAGGAAATGAGAAAAGAATCGTTTCGAGAAGCCAAAACCAAATTTTAAAGATTAAGAATTCAATTTCGCGAAATGGTCTGCCTCCAATTTAACACCCTATTTTACTCTTTTTATTTTTAGCAAGGGGCAAAAGTTCTTCTCCAAGTGTAATACGGGAACGACATTCGATTTAATACGCATTACATATTTATTCAGTATACCTTAATAACTTTGGATCTCGCTTCTGTTAGAAATCGTATGAGAGACTGAGTATGAGATGACTTGATGTGGTTCATTATCGACGAAAAACGAGCGAGTAATCGTCGCCAATAAGCGAGTTCTGCGGACGGTCCTACGGTCTCGGTTTCCCTGCGTAATTGTTGACTCTCAACGACAGCCTGAAAAGTCATTTATTTTATGATAAAGCTACTTAATTCGCTTAAATGTCGAGATGGTATATAATCGGCAAAAATCGCACTCGTTCCATCGTCTTCATCCATATTTGGACGTCAGTTTCTGCAGCTGTAATAACGTCCGCATTGTGAATGTTCTCTCTTATATTCTCAGGTTGCGCCAAATATTTCTGATAAAAGTCCCAATTAACTTGGAAGCGCATGATATTCTCCAGATCTATTTTCGTCACTAGGGAAGGAGAAAAACAGAGATTTTAGATATTTGAACAAAAGGTGTGCGCGTCGTTATGTAAGGAAATGTAATTCGCTTACTGCTAAGAAATTCACAGAAATCTTTAAAATCGCCTACAAAATCGTCCCTCGTCTTTTCTCCGGTTTCGCTTTTCGTCAGCTCTCCCCATTGCGTGTTGGCGGTCAATGTCCGTACATGTAAGCGCGTAATCAAATCGGATATACCCGCCAATGCGCTCTTTGACGCAGGATCTACTTCAGCATACGCGTAATACGTTTCCTGTGCAGAACACAAAATAAAACTTCCAAAAAAATGTAATAATATATAATTTTATATGTAAAATATTAAATTTATTATAAAATTACTATTAAATAAATAAAATAATAAATAATTTTAAAAAATAAATTTATAATTAAACTAAATAATTAAAATTTTAAAAATAATCAAATTTATTATATAATTTTATATATAAAATATATAAAATATAAAATTATACATGATTATATATATATATATATATATATATATATATATATAAGTTATATAAATTTTATTCATATATGGCCACTTATATAAACGTCACTTATTTATACCAATGTTCAGCATTTTAAATCGACTTTTAAGTCTGCCAGAAAGATGTACGCTCTAAAGCGGAATGATTCACTCTCGAAATTAAAGTACAACTAATGAATTTTGCCAAATTAAAGCGAAGAAAAATATAAAGCTAATGGACGTATATGCGTCCATACAGAAAAAAATGTTGTTAAATAAAAAAGGCAAGAAGTAGTTTCACTCAATTAAACATTAGTGCTATAAAAAATATAAGTACTATTAAAAATATAAATATTGTATTTGCATAACAATATTTCTTTTGTTATAGACATATAATTATATATGATTATACACAGATCATGTATAAACAAAATTCATATATGGTTCTTTTTTCCCGGGCGCATTGTCAAACAATTTTACCCTTCCACAATTTAATTATTCGCACTAATATTCAGCGCACGATTTTTATTAATCTTATATCTCTTTTAACTTGACAAAACTCGACAGTTTGTATTCTAATCCCAAGAACAAAAACTATTTTGCTTTGGATCGTATATTTTTCTGACGTACAGATACAAAGAGCGTTTAAAATGCTGAAATGCTGCATTGGTCAAATGCAAATAAATGTCGTTTCATATTTGACTGAATACACAGAATTATTATTGCATTCGTTGGACTACTCCTCAGACAGATATTCTATTCGCGCGAAATTTTCGACGTAAACTCGAGAAAAGAGTCACCTGAACCGCGCGCGTACTTTAAACTGTGTACAATCTCGTTAAACTCATGCATTTTATCAGTGCGAAAGTGAGTTAAAACTTTACATTTCATGAGTGCCACGGCATCCAGAAAATGCGATGTAAATTTAAGCCTGAATTTAGTCCCGGTTGTAAGTTAACTCTCTCGACGTGAACGTCAACTTTTGACCGAAGAGATGCTTACATCGAGTAGCTGCTTTACTCCGAACTCGAGATTTGACTTTAATCGGTAAACTATTACGCATTTGCCTGTGAACTCTTCGGTGGTACCGTCCGTTATGCAACAACGCATAACTTCTTGCTCCTCGCTAAGTTGCGGCGTCCATCGTCCGGATTCTAAGATTATGTAAATTTCATTACGACGTAACGATACAATGTAAAGCAATATTGTCGTCGCCTTCTTCAAATTGCTTACGAATGGAGAAAGAAAGAGATATAATGGAATTGCGAATATCTAATAAACACTGCAAATAAAGAAACAATTATTACACTTTCCATATAGATATTGCAAAAGCTCCATTGTTAATTGTAATTAATAATACTTCGATGAAAGTAAAGACGATCTTTCTTCTTGAACTCATCACTTTGACGTTATATATTTTCTCCATCACAGCACAAATGTCCAAAATATATTCCAGAAACGTTTCACATATTCAGACACCTCTGGAATATTTCAACATTCGCGGATGCTGGATGGATCGTAATCAAATTAAAACTTTGTTATGATCCAGTTTAAATTGATCGAATAATAGAATTCTTTCAATAAATCTCTAAGTAAAGAAGACAATTTCTCGAAAAATCACTTGTTTTTGGTGGAAAGGTGTCAGCGTTTCGATATTTATCCAAGTTAAGAACATAAATCGCCAAAAAAACCGAAGAATATTAGAATTCAGATCAATTCCTCAGGTATAGTAATTTCTATTGTTTCCTCCCGTCGTTTGTCACAAATTTTTATGAGCGCACCAAAGTATGACGCACACCCCTAACAGCACAAATATCTAGGAGACGTCCAGAGTACGTCCTGAGAACGTCCTGGGGACATTTCTACGTCCTCAGGACACCTGTAGGACGTCCCCAGGAGATTTTGTGCTGTATGAGACTTAAATAAGTATATCAATCATTACCAAATGCTGGTGGAGTCATCGGTTGAAAATATATCAGAATCACTTGTCTGCCACCTTCAGCAAGAAAGCTACTGAACACATCTACGTATTCGTCCTTATCGAGGATCCCTTCCTCCAGCACTTCAACGTTCGCGTTCAAAATATACGCCGCCGTTTCTAAAACGTGTCGATGCGTAATCGTCAATAATCCTTCCCTAGCGTAACGATATTCCTTAAATTTTGCCTAAAATAAAAAGGGTCAAAAATGAAAAATCCATACTATGCAAACATTCTCAATAGCGCAACACTTTCGCAAAATAATCGTGCTCGCGCACTTGCCTTTCTATTATTTTAACTTTTCTATCTGATGAAACTTATAAGGATAGAAGAAATTGTTTAGCACACGGAAAGAATATTATAATCCCTCTTTTTTAAATACATTTTTAATTATTATAATTATATATAATTATATATATTATATATATCATAATAATTATAATTATATATATAATATTATAATCAGATTATAATCTCTTATTATTTATAATCTTATTATTTAATTATTTTTTAAAATAAAATTTGTTCAATTTTATTCTGTTTTTATTAATTCAGGAATAGACCAGCAGCAAGGTCTATTCTTGCTAAAGAATAATAAATTTCGTTAAAAACATTTCTAGAAACATACCCACACAGCAGAGGTGTCCAAAATATAACATAGAGACATCCTAAAGATATATTTGGGATATGTGATATCTTCAAGATATCCCTATGATGTATTTGGGATATTCCTGCTATGTGGGTAATAAGTGTTTTAATAGCATATTATGGTTCCTAAAAATATAAGTAGTACACATGAAATAAAAGGGTAGTGAATTATTGCAAAATGTTAATTTATTTCCCGATATTGCAAAATCCTGTAGTAATTTTTTTTTAGTAAAATTCTATGTCTTTCACTTTCTTACATTAATGAATGAGTACTATAAGGTGTAGTAACGTTTAAGATGAGATGTGTAATATTTAAACCATTCGCGAAAGAATAGCACAGATGAAAAGTACGTACGAGTCGCTCTTTTGTACTTTCCGTAGGTAAATCTTCCCGTGCGCCAATCCTCCTCTTCACTAACTCGGCGATTCGTTGATCGATAGCTGGCTTCGTGTAATCCCGCGTCGTGGAAGGCGCGTTTGTCATCATCGTAGGAAAAAAGAGATTATGAATGTTAGCACGTAAACGAAAAAGCTCGAGAGAAATCTACAGGAGACTAGGATTAAGTGCAACACACGTTTGTCTTTGACAATTCGTCATGCATTCGACTGAAATTATGCGCTTAAGATGGAATAGATGAATAGCTGAATATCATAAAATATAATGTTATGTTCAATAGAAGAACCCAGATAACACAAAGAATTCTAAAAGAATTCACCTAGTAAACATGCATGTCTAAAAGATGGCGAAAAGATATCTAAAAGATGTCTTATGCAACAAAATGTTGCATAAGATATCTTTTAGATACCTTTTCGACATCTTTTAGACATGCATGTTTACTGGGCAGTCGCATGTCACCAAATCTGAGTTCATTTTTAGATACAAAAAGAATTCTTTTCACTGAACTAAACTCTGAAAAATTCTTTTTACATCTGAAAGTAAATTCAGAATTTGCCTGAGTTCTTTTTGAATTCTTTTTGAATTCTCTGTGCTATCTGGGGAAGCGGCTTAATCAGTGATTACGTTTAGCAGAAAGAACGCTTTGCGCTGCGCTGCTAACGGCTTACTAAGCGGTTCAGCATATCGAAAGTATACTGGAAAAAAAAAGCAGCCACTAGTAAACATGTTGGAAAAGCGCAAATTGCTACTGTCGTTCAGAAGAAAATCTTACAACAGTTGCAAAGTTGCTGTCAGAGCAGCGGAAAGCGCTTACTAAACTGCTTTCTCTGTTGAACATAACTAGTGTCTTGCGCTGCCGACAGCTTTGCAACTGTTGTAAGATTTTCTGTTAAACGACACCAGCAGAAACTTTTTTTCTTAATATTTAAACAGCTGTCATCTCTCTCTCTCTCTCTCTCTCTCTCTCTCTCTCTCTCTCTCTCTCTCTCTCTCTGTTTTTCTCTCTCCCTCGCTCCCTCCCTCTCTCTTTCTCTTCTATCCCCTACATCTATCTTTCTCCTTGGATCCTCTTGTGAGCACAACGAAGGTGGAAAAGTGTCACGAACCAGCGCAAGTGACGGAACGACCGATCCCCTCGGCGTCAAGGTCGTGGAATGACGTATAAGGTAAGACGATTCACGGTTCTCTCTTCCCGTTTGTCGTCGCGGCGCCGGGACGTCATGTATTATTACATCGCGGCATCCCAAGCGGCGCTCCTGAATATTTATGAGGGTGATCGGGACTCGCCGGCGATTCCGACGAAAAATAACGAGAGCTGGCTTCTGACGTTAAGGATTCTTTGTGCGATAGCGTGTTTTGATCGCGAGAAATTGAGCTGTAACGTCACGGCCGCAATCAACGCTAATCTAAATGAGAGCGGGAGGATAAGAAAACTGAAGAAGCGCGGAGATATGATTTGGAAATTTTTCTAAAGATGTCTCGCGCTTTCTTTGCTTCTCCATCTTCAGGTCTTCAAGTCTTTCGTTTTTTATCATACGATCTAATCGTATGATAAAAATTTGCACGATAATTC